CCAGGAGTACCAGATGCAGTTCTTCCGATAACATGTTTCAAGAATCATGCGGATGTAAAAAGGGTTTCCACGGCTCTTCTCTTGAACGACGGCGGCTAGCGGGACCAGAGAGTTGTTTGAAGTTTGGTGCATGGTCGCAGCGACGAATTCAAGAATATCATCTTCGGTCAGAGGCTCTAGTACCACATTTGTAACATTTGAGCCCTCGCCTGCGAAAATGGATTTCATGATAGGTGAGACAATGTCATCGGTGCGTCCCGTGAGGATGACCACGCATCTGACTTTGTTCTTTATGATCTCAAGTAGTAGGCCGGCAGACTCATCGTCCACGAAGTGTGCATTGTCGATACAGACGCAGATGACCTCGTATAAGGACATAACCCTCAGCACATCGATCACGATTTCCACAAAGTTCATTCCTGAAGCGGACGGTCCCTGACAGAAATCTTGTGAGGTTTGGCCATGTCTGAGACTTGTAAATTCGGGGGCACTGACACTGAACGATTCTTCTATACCCTCCTTCAGACCTTTTAGTGGTTGAAAGGATCTCTGGTGTACCGGTGGTTCGTAGTCGACATTATCTTGGAAGAGTAGCTGGTAGGGAAGGTCGAGGAATTGGTGGAGGGACGGCCAGATGGGCTGCAGACTATTGCGGATGGAATTGTGGTATTCTGTTGAAATATCACGCTCAGAAAATATCTGTCGTAATAGGCTGGCTAGTGCTTTGAGGAAAGGGTCAAACGGCAATTTAGACTGTCGATCGACCTTTGCAACGGCAACGTAACCAAGTTTGCGTATTTCGGGTAGCAGACGCTGGAGCAGGTCTGATTTGCCCATTCCAGTTGGCCCAGATACCGTTATCACTTCACATCGACCACCATGCCGATATTTTGTATGTGCTGCTTTTCGCCGAGCTAGAGAGCTCGAGTCGAATGCGACGCTGGGGGAGTCACGATCGATAATTTCCCATGACATTCGCGAATCCGTAGGGCTTTTCATGCGGTTTGAAAGAAGGGTGGATTTACCGCTAGTAGTGCCATGATCACCACTGAACATCGAATCGTGGGAAGGCATCAAGGCATGAGAGGTCGAAGGGTGAGAAATCGAGTTGGGTCTGAATGCTGAAATCGGGGCTCCGTAGGAACCAGAATCACTGGAGGCATCAACTTCGACAGCATCTAGTCTGTCGCCCGAAATCGACGAAGCTGAGCTCCTTGCGTAGAGACTTGGCTTGTTAGGGGTGGTGGCAGCTTGTCGTCGTTTGCTGGCCTTGTTTACGACGCTCATAATCCGGTCGAATTCGACTTTCCTCCCAAACATGCCGGAAGGTAGCGTGAAGAAAGATGAAACATCCCGCTGGGCTACCTGGAAGTCTCTCAGTGCCTCTGAGTTCCCATCGCCGAGCAGCTTGGAGATCTGCTGGAAATCCCATTTGACTGCTGAGATGGTATGATACCTCTCATTGATTTGTTTTTTGGTCATCTTTTGTATAACGGCGGAGCATGCATCAGGCATATCAAGGCGTAAGGTCGATATGGGAGATAGTTTCTTGCTCAGGACATTCTGCACTACTTCAACAAGGTCTTTTCCCTCGAAAGCGGGTTTCCGAGCTAGCATAATCCATAGTAGGATACCAAGAGCATATATATCCGTCCTGCTGTCAGGCTCTGTTGGTAATCTTCCGGTCTGTTCTGGCGCGATGAACTGTAGCTTGTTCCTGACCCCGATTTCCTTTGACAAGACGGCCCAACCGTCGCCTAGAGCATTGTCGAATGACCTAGGGCCATTACCGGTATTCATCAGCCTAACGACCCTAGTTTCCTCGGAGAAGTGGAAAGCGTCACCACGTATTTCACCATGGATGGTCTTTAGACCATAATGCAGCAACTCGAGACACTCGCAAGCTCCAATGGCAAAATCAAAAAACGCCTGCAGTGAAACCTCTTCGATATCTGGATTGGTCGATGGCGGGACACTGCAATCCATTTGAAAAGAGTGCGGCCCACCCAGGATCAAGCGTCTAAGATAGTTGGGCGATATGTATTCATATATCGTGACGAGGAGCAGCCCTCTGTCCTCTGGCTCGCGAGCAAGGTGTATGATATCGATGGGGCGAACGGTGTGTTTGCATTCTGGATCAGAGGTCTCAACGATCGACCGTAAGATGTGAAACTCACGCTCGAGGCGGACAACATGGCCGGACACACGGGCTATGACGGGAAGCCATGGCCTCTCGACTTCTTCGCGTGGGGATGTGATCTCACTCCCAGCTTCACTGGGGGCCTTTCGCCACTGCGACGGAAAAAAGGACCTTGGCTCCAGCTCCGGCGAGTTATGCGACGATGCGGAGGCCTTGGAACGAGACGAGGAGGATGCCGCGGTATGCGTCGAAATGCTTTCGGAGTCTGCGGAGTATTTGATTCCAGTGAACTGCCAGTGGTCGTAGGAGGACTGGAAAGGGGTGACGTTCTGGTCCCATGAGTATCCCGGAATCTGCGAAAGACGCTCTAGCAGACGCTCTGGAAGCGCATGGAGGTCCTCCCCCAGAATCCTGCTCTCCTCCATCTTTCCTTATCCTCTTGGTTCCTGTATTATTATTCTTATTCCCTTATTCTTGAATTTCTTAATAACTTTTTTTTTTATGTGGTTGCGGGGAGCGAAGACTGCCCTGAGGTCCCTGGAGGGCAAGCGGTGCAACAGAGCGGCGGCGGCGGCAACGACAGCGATGGCGAGAGGAGGGTCATATCCGTGGTCAGAGGTCACCGATTACCGAAATCTCATGGTTGTCACTGGGAGAAAGAGTGTATATATAGGGTGAATATTTTAAATATATTAACCTGAAAAATGTGGGGAGGAGGAGGAGGAAGTTGGTCGTTGTTAGTTGGAATCTTTTTATTTTTCTTTGGGCCTTGCGGTTGGTTGGCCGGCGACAAAAAGGGAAGAAGGCCAAAGGAAAGGCAATCATGTGCTTCCCGCTGGCTCTGGTAACTCAAAGAGCAGGAAAAATAAGAAGCAGCAGCCAAAACGCATGGAAAAGACCAGAAAGAAGCCCTTGTTGCTGCTGCTCTCGCTTCAACTTCCAACTTGATAATTTCTTCTCTTCTGTCTCAGCGATGACACCGGGGGGGGGATCGAGCCTAGGCCTATCAAAACCTCCAGCCACGATTCCACTACTGGGGTCACTGACGCAAGTCGCCTTGTGGCTCTCGCACCAGCGCTAGTCCAGCTAGTAGTAACGAGTCAGCTACGGAGACGCACCTCTCGGGGGAAGGTTTAGACGGTTGAACAAGGTCGAGGACAGGCAGCAGGCCTCGCTGTCTGGAGAGAAAACATCAGCAGCGGTGTCAGTTGATGTGGCTTTGCTGCCGAGGTGCTGGATGGCCCAGCGACAGGGCACACGATCAGGTTTGGCAAGCTGTCACTGGCTCGGTCGAGGCCCTTGAGTCTCGCTGAGCTGCTGCTGCTGCTGCTGCTGCTGCTGCTGAGGCTTAAAAGGCCTGGCTGAGCTTTTTTATGCGTTGAGCTAACCAGAGGACTCACTAGCTAAGTCTGCAGGAGATGGCTTCTATCAAGGTTAGCAAAGGGGGCCGGCTAGACATATGGTTTATGCGCCGAGCCTAGTTGTTCGAGAGGGCCTTTGGAGGCGAGTCTTCGGGTTGGTTGACACTCTACTCGAGCTGGCTGGCGGCCTTCGTTAGACTCTGTGTTGAAAATGGTGGATACGGATTCGCATACGATGCTGGTATACGTGCGCATAGACAAAGATCAATGGAGACTCAGGGGGTGGAAGGGCCCCTGGCACTTGTATGACAACGAATAACTATTATTTGAGACGACCCCACGGAACATTGACGGGCCAGAGGGGATCAGATAGAACCTTATACGGCAGTAACTCATTACTATACTCTGGTACCTTGGGCTGATTATTCAAGGGTATTAGTTGTTGGGTGTCTATTTATAACATATGTAGCGTTCAAATGCTCCATGAACCATCCCAGCTCCCTTTAAGCTAGAGTTCCCAGAAAAGCAGGAGGTGAATAAAGGCAGTTTCGTAGGGAATCCATGGGACGGGATATGAGGTTATACCAACCTACATCGGCCCTGGCAGACGGAGTGAAATTCGCTGCAAACCGGTCCTGCACCAGCCTTTCCTTCCACCTTTTTTATCTTCTGTCTTTTGTTGTTTTCTATCCCTAGTGAGCTCCATACTCTGCCATCTTTCTCCTTTTTTTCTTCTCTCTCTCTCTCTCTCTCTCTCTCTCTCTCTCAACCTGCGATCCTGTCAAGGGCGTCGCGGACAGAAGGTGATGCCATTTTAGGAAGTGCATTACATAATGCATCATCTATTTCAGCCAATAAAAATGGTTTCACTTGTTGTTTTGGACATCAAATTACTGCTGTTGGGTTTGTATTACTGGATTATATAATTTACGAGTCGATCATTTATACACGTGACTGTCCATTCGGGCACCAATCAGACCGCTTCCCCTTCGTCAAAAGCGCCCGCCAGCTCCAATTGGTCGAAGTTGCCTGGCTGCGAATCAGGTTGGATCGACGGCCCTGCGATATCAAAACTCGCAAAACAAACAGAGATTGGAATGTTGGTTGAAAGCCGCCCTTTCCGGTGCTCGTATGCACCTCGCCGAATTGCAGCACTTGGTCCCTCCCTTTTACCCCCCAGCTGACACACGGCGTGGTGAAGAACAACGATGTAATTCGTGATCGAGCGGATGGCAGCACAAGCTGGATGCATGAAAGCAATGAGGAGCCAGTTTGTGAGACGCCTTCGGGATCCTCCCAGAAGATCATTATTCCTCAAATCTGACGGTGACTTCATATGTTTGAGATAGAAGCTACGATGCGGAGGCAAAACTTAACCAGGTTTTTTCTTTTTCTTTTTTTTTTTTTTCTTGCGGTCAGGGGAGGAAGATGATGTCTCTCTTGATGACATCTCCCGGGCCCGCAATAATGACGATTGTTATGGGTAGCCTTCGGGACCATGGATTGAAACGGCAAGCTACCTAAAACCAAAGCAGGGCCCCATGGTTCCCTGAAAGCGAGCCAAACACGATGTGTCCCTGATCGCAATCCATGGTATCTGTCTGTTGGATGCAACAGTGTCAAGACGGGTATGGAGAAGTTACTTGTGTATTTGCATGGACAGCGGTTAGCCGGCAGGTTAGCTCCTCCCGGCTACAGGTTTCAAGGACACCTCAGCTCATACTTCATCCATATCTCTACCTATCATACTCTGTGCTGGAGTCAATTATCTGTATTTCGTGCTCTCGTGCTGAGGATCGTATGATTGTATATGTGTCGATGCGCATGGGCGAAGATGATATATCGAAAGCCAACTCAGCGGGGGCACGGATAACTATCAGACCTCCCAAATCCCCAGTTTTCATTATTCATATTTACTATCCTTTCCGTTTGACATCAGGTACTTTAACCACGCATTTATTTATAGACATTCGCCCTGTATATCAATGTTAACCCAGATTTATACTCCGGGGGTGTACTCGGACAAGAAACCTCTCAAAGACACTCGGTCTTAGTCTGTCAATACAGCAAACAGTGAGACCAACAAAACAACAATAGCAACCTGTGCGTTTCCTCCAAGGTTATTTTGCACAGCGTCGCTCTATCCACTAGAGCACTACTCGTGGCTAGAAGAAGAAATTATCAAGGATTTCTCTGCCTTTCTTCTTACGAAATACCCGACAAGTCGACTTGGTCGTCTCGTTTGTTATTTCCATTGAACCTCGTTACTGTCGACCAAGTGCTTTTGAGACAAGCCTCCTTTATTCTTTGTCTATGCGTTTCCATCATGATCTACCCCTGAGAACTGCCGTCTTGGAAGTGTTCCGTTTAGGGTAAACGGACGGCCCTATGATGTCAGAGGATGCAGGCGTCTTCTCTATGGATGAAAGGGAATGAAAAGGAACGAGCTAACGGGAACTAACAGTTATGTCACAGAATCTCTTCTCAACAGTTCCCTACCTAGTAGCTCTTAGGCCGTTGTTAGTAGCGTGAGATTCAACCAACAACCTTACCTACGAGGCCGACCGCCCCGTCCGGCGCCGATAGCCTATTCCATTGATCCAACCTCGTCAGCAGAGCAATCAGCCGGCGTACTTCAAGGCTGTGTGGTCTGACCGATGACAACGCCAGTGTTCCAGTAACCAAGACAGGCCAGCAAGTTACACGTCATACTTCCTAGGCGAGTGCTCAGCGTACTCTGTAACCCTACTCCGTACACCTGAAGGTCTTTGTGATAGCCCGAACCAGCACCGCCAGTTGAATCACCTCTGTCATCATTAAAAGCCACGTCCCAAGGAATGATTTGATGTCTCCTCTTGTCAGTCCATGGTGCCGGGTAAGGCGCTAAAAACGTGTTCAGCGGATTCCTCGGGATGGGTTCCCATTTGCCCTGCGCATGAACAAGACTGCATGTGGCCGACACAACAGGGAGAAGGAGTTGACGAAAGGTGCAGTGGTAGATATTTCTGACTGGTAGAACCGGTAGAGCACAGCAGGTGCGAGGAGTGCAGACTATTGAAATCGATCAACACCCCCTTTTGCTGGGTATGAAGCAAGTGAAGGAAGATATGGTGATTAAGGGGGGGCGAGGAAGGCAGGAGAAGGATGGATGCATGCCTTATACGAGTACGCAACAGGCGCATGTACGTAAATGTTATGCTAGGTACGGACGGAGAAGCATCGGCATCACCGTCATCGAACCGTCCCCATCCTATCGTCATCAGTATGGAGTTGCTCACCGTTATTTAAATTATCCCACACGGCTGAAAAGCCAAAAGGCAAAAGTGCAAATCATTGCAAATCTCAGGCGCTACCCATACCTCATGGGTAACAGGCATTATCCTCAACGATTCGTATTCAGTGACTTCATGCCTTGTGCTCACCGCTCGACGGCCGCTTAATGTGAAGCGAGGGTCGTTGGTGCATATTAAACGAATACCGCGATTAGATGAAATATATATAAAAATAAATTTATACTCCATATATCGTCATGCATGATCAGAGCAACCTCTAGCAAGGGATAGAGTCGGCGATTAGCATTGGTGCTGTACTCCAGAATATGATCCCGGCCTGTTGAGCTCTATTTGCTGCCACTCCGTTATGTCACTTTGCATGCTGATGGCTTATTGAAGCCGCCGATCTCAGCCTTATCTGAATTCTTCTTACTCATTCCCCCCCCCCCCCCAGTGCATGTGTGTGCGCCCTCTCTTTCTCGCAGGAAAATCGTTCCATGTTTGTGATTTTTCTCCGTGGACTAGTACGGCGTTTCCCTCCTTCTCCGTATGGATAGAGTGTGATGCGTGTTGCCTGCTGTGCCTGTAAGACGCCAACGGTTCACATATATGTATAACTACTTACTCTGTACACCTTTTTTTTTTTTTTTCTCTTAACGGCGGCGGTGGATCCTACCCCTTCGCCTTCTCTTCTCCTCCCCCTTGCTGTGGGTCGAATAAATGAAGGGTATGAAGAAAGCCCGAGGCAGACAAAATAACTAATCGACATCTGAGAATATCCGTGTAAATCGAGAGATGGTCTGGTCGATAAATCAACAAGAGGAGTCGTACAAGTCGAGGGATTGCACTGTCTCATAGTCTCTCAGTTACGTATATGGTGCAGCCGGTGCAACTTGCGGGTGGAAAAGAAAAGAAGCAACTACCGGAAAGATGTCTAACTGCCCAAGTGACGATGTCGAGCAGCCACTTAACGTACACTCTCTCCGTACTCCGTAACTATGTACTCCGTACCCCGTAGTTAGTTGTCTGCTTCCTTTTTCTTCTGATTATTTTTGGACGGCTGTTTGAAGTTCGAGCAACTATCGAACAACGTCTCAAAAGTAAATAATTGGATTGGTAGGACGAGGAAGTGTGAGAGAGCCTGCTGCCACGACTGGCCCAGCGGAGAGTGCGCCTGATAGGAAATTCTGTCTCTCCCCTTCTCTCTCGTCCCTGTGTCTCCCCCGTATTATATGTCACATCGTTTTTATTTTGCTTTCCGTCGTGTTCCTGTCCTGTCCTGGCCAATGCAAGGCTTTTACCACATATGTACTGTGACGAGGAAAAAGTAATCAGCATATAGGCAGGGTCCCGGGGTGCCGTCTCTCTCTCTCTCTCTCTTTTTTCCCCCTTTCCTTCCTAGTCATCAGGCTGTCCGTTTGTTTGCCCATCTGTCCCTCAGCTGGCGAACCTCTCTGTCGGAATCCGAGTCTGTAACGGCGCAGGGGAGGAAAGGCGACTAGGAGAAGCTTTGGCGTCTGTCCCAAACACTCGAAGTACTCCATACTGCTAGTCCCAGTGGTTAGTTGGTATTATTATTAGTTCGTTGAACCCAGCAGATGGCAGGTTTTGTTTGTAACGGGGGAGGGAAATTGTATGGGGCAGCGCGATGACGTAGCTAGTCGAAGCAAGAATACATAGAAGACAAGAGAGAGACCCGCCAAGGGACCAGGGGGAAGACGAAGAAAAAGAAGAACGGAGAGGAAGAAGAGCAAAAAGTACGGGATCTCTTCCTAGCGCAGCTGTTGGCTGTTGGATTGCTCGCCGTCGTCGACCTCGTTTGCTGACTGACCGTGAAGATTTTCGTCGTTATTTTTCCCATTTACTTTTACGGCGAAGATACTGCCGAAAGCGGAAGACTCCAACACTCAACCTCGACCTCACCTCCTCGACGTCGCCTGAACTTGAAGAAGACACAATCCGCATCCACGATACCGCCAGCGCCGACGGCAGCGACCTCTTGTCAGCCAGCTTTCTTTTCTTTTGCCTGTCGTCTGCTGCGTCTTCATGATCCCCGAGAGATGCATGGCTTGCTTCTGCCCCTACCCGTAAAGTCGTCGTTGTAAGCCTCTTCTCCGCCTCCCAAGAGCCACCTCCGCCGCCGCCAACGGGGGGGTGAACCAGCCAGACAGGACACGACAGCGAGATAGACAGAGAGAGACAGCCAGGCCGGACAGAGGACGACTTCACTGGCCAGCGAGGGAGGCATGTCAGCATGCGGACTCCGCCGTTATCTTCACCTGTTGGCCCTCTCGCTTCTATGACTTCTTCCGGCCAGCACCAGCACCAGCGCCGCCGTCTTTCTTGCTCGCAGCCAGAGGACAGCCTCAACCTCCACCAGCAGGACTACCAGCAGGAAGGACTTCCGCAAAACCAGCAGTACCAGCACCAGGAGAGCCAAGGTTCATCAATTCTCGTTTCTGACCTGACGCAGCCGGCACCGCGTCCGAGTCGTGATACCAACATCACCCCCAGACCTTTCTCGCGCCATTCAGAGTTTGCTACTTGCGGAAACACTATCAGAAACAACAGCAATGATGCGACAGCACCAGATCTTGACTTGACAGACGCTTGCCTTCATCAATCGTCTCAGAATAGCAAGAAGTCAAGCGGCTCTGTCCTTGATGAGCTGCGGAAACGCATGGGTGAGACCATCATGAACCAGCAGCAGCAGCAGAAGGCGGCACAGTACTACTATGCTCAGGAATCTGTTTCTACCGACTCCGGATTCACTGACTCGGATACCAACATGACACCAAACACATCCGATGAAAAGGTTACTCAATCAACCCAGCCGTCGGTCCCCAGGTCTCCATCCTCGCGATCAATGCGGCCATCGAGCCTGCCACAACGGTCACTAGTAACTCCTTTGTCGCCGTTTGACATTCACTCAACCAGAGCCAATGCCGAAAAGGAAGGTCATCTGGCTTCTTCGGCAGCCTTGAACTTGAATACAAACGCTGCCAATGCTGCGGCCTCGAATGGACTGGAATTCCACAGCCAGCAGCAGCAGCCTCATTCTCCATTTCCTCACTCCCCTCGAGGGACAAAACTCAAGCGGCGGTCTATCAGGCACCCTTACACAGCGGACACTCTCAAGAGAATGAACGAGATGCCAGCTGCCTCGATAACAGCTGCTCCTGCAGACTTTTTACCTCCTGGTAGCGCACCGATCACTGACAGCTCTCCCTACCCGACCCCAAATCTCTATGATATCACTCTTGCTTTAAATGCCGACCCCGGTCTTGATGGGTGGTGGTCCAATGTGGTACCACTTCTGAAGACTCATTATGGCGCTGAAAGGCTCACTCTTGCGGTTCCAGGCGACACTACTGACCTAGAGAATGTCCCATGGCTGCAGAAGGCTACATACAGTATATATGGAAACGAATCCATGCCATTCCTCTCGTCGCCACAGCCTATCCCCAAGGCTGAATGCGAAAAGCCCTCCTCTAAGGCCCGCTTCAGTGAGGTTACTAAAGAGGACGGCAATACCTTCAAATATACAAAATCTGTCACTGGTAGTCGTCGTCCAAAGCTGATGGGTCGTCATTCATTTGCAGGTCATACTTCTTACCCTTCAGAGAAATGGAACGAAGATGCATCAAGCGGTCCTACGCCGTTAAAGGGTCGCCATTCGCGACGAAAAAGTTCCAGTGGGGAGCTTAGGAAACCGCGTAAGCACATGCGCGAGGACGAAATCATGGCCGATGTATGTGATTTCAACACCGTCCCGTTGAGTGGGACCTTTCAACAACTGCACCAGCACCGGAACCAGTCCCGTGGACCCAGCGGCGAGGTATCCGGGGCTGCGTCTGGCCTTGGTTCAAGGCCTGCGTCCGGGCCACCGAGCCCAACTGCTGTTGTCTTTGCTACTCCTAGAGCATTGGAAGTTGAGCCTGAGCCGTTGATTAAGCGGACAGGTGTGGTGAAGTTGTTTGGCCGCACAACTCCCGTTGCATTGACGAGAGAATACGCTGATGACCCTATGCAAATTGTCTCGTCTGATAGCAATGCAGCGATTCACAAGCACAAGGACATCATCCAGCGTACCCCACGCTCGGAGACACCAGGAGCACCGCCGAAGGGACCCATGCCATCCCATCGATCCACTCCGTTGTCCCTTGGTCTAGCTTCGGCCCAAGAACGCAGGGGTATTCCAAAATCCACACTCATGGGCCACGAATACCAGCCGATTCCCTTTGACCCTTCACCTCCAGCCCAAAAGTACGAAGAGTATGAACAAACTCCGCCTTCTCCTTGGTCACAGTCGCCTGCTCCATCTCCTGCCCCTCTCCTAAAACCGGACGTCAATCCGTTCTTTGTCGAAACGTATAATGAAGTGAACGAAGATGCATTCGCCTCGAGTCCGCCGCCGCACGATTATTCAGAAACGGCGCCCTTGGAGGCCATTGGTATCGATCGTGCAAAGAGCGTCATCCACATTCCCCTAATCCATTCTTCGTCGTCACGACAGGGAAGGTCGGATACGCTCCGTTTTCCTGTTGCTGTCATATCCCTCCTAGCTCCTATAATTCCATATCCAACCAATCTCCGAAACTCTCTAGCGCTACTGCTTCCTCATCTTACGACCTCATTTTGCCTTGCGCAGCAGTACAGTCAGCTAGAAAAACAAAGCACGAGCTCTACTGTCGAGCGATATGGCCACCTCTTGGGTCTCGGCGGTACCTTTTCAGACGCTAACAGTGAGCTTGAGCTCATTAACGGTCTATCGGGGCATGTAAACTATGCAAGTCCCTTGACTCAATTGGGCGGTGGTGACGCTACTGGTGAGGGATATTTTCGAGCCAAGAGCCCGTCTTCGACTGAGAACAACAACTGCAATAGCATTGCGGCTACAACGCTCGCAATGGCCAATAACAGTGTTCAAGGCACACCAACCGAAGGACTGGCTATTGCAATCCCTCCGTCACAACAAAAGGCGGCATACGATGAATTAACTTCAAGGGACCCGGGATTAGTACATACCCCTTCCATTGCCGAAGCTCCGACAAAAGCAAGTCAGAATACTCCACAGATGCTCGCCGAATTTTCACGTCATTCGTCAACAGGCTCCTTCACCGCTCAATGGCATCGTGAGGTTTCCTCGCGTCCCTTCCCAGACACAGTTGCGCAGCTGATGCTCAACTCGATACCCTTACACCTTTTCCTTGCAAAGCCGCATACTGGCGAGGTTATTTGGACCAATGCAAAGTTTGATGCGTATCGGCGAAGCCAGCCTATGGAACCGCGAGTTCGGGACCCTTGGCAGAACGTTCATCCTAGTGAATATGAAAAGGTACTAAAACACTGGAGAAAAGCGTTGCGTACCGGATCGCAGTTTACAGAGCGCGTGCGCGTCAAACGCTTCAATGATGAATCTGAATACCGTTGGTTTATCTTCCGGGCAAATCCGCTCATATCAGGTGCGGGTGAGCTTTTGTATTGGATCGGCTCATTTCTGGATGTTCATGAACAACATGTCGCTGAGCGTAAGGCAGCGCAGGAGCGAGAAATGTTCGCGACCGACGTCAAATACCGAGCTCTCGCCAATTCAATTCCTCAGGTTGTCTTTGAGGCCGCAGAGTATAGCGGGTTGATCTCAGTAAATGAGCAATGGGAGCTATACACAGGCCAGTCCCTTGATGAAGCAATGACTTTGGGCTTTGCAAAGTATATTCATCGCGATGATCTGGAGAAATGTGGGATCTTATCGCCTCCGCAGGTTATTCCAGAGTCGAATGATATACCTGAATTTGCCCGTATAATGTCCAATGGAAACCTCGCTGAAACGCTGAAGGAAGCCGAGAGGTGTCGAAAGAATTCAACACAGGCGTCACCCTCGTCCCCATCTGCAGAGCAGCAGCAATATGATAATCCACTCAGAGTGTTTGGTAAAGGCGTAACGCCTGCATTGCAGGAACTCGTGCGACGAGAAATCGTTACAATCCAACGCGATGAGAATGGTCGAGATTCCTATACGACTGAAATCAGATTTAGGTCCCGAAAAGGAGATTTCCGATGGCACCTCGTGCGGTTGGTCAAGGTTGAGACACCCGACTTTGGCAGCGGTGAAGCATCGTGGTATGGTACATGTACAGATATCAACGATCGCAAGTTATTGGAGCGTGAGCTCAATACTGCCCTGCAGAAGTTGAATAGGGAGATGGAGTCTAAGACGAAATTCTTCAGCAACATGTCTCATGAGATTAGGACGCCGCTTAATGGGATTTTAGGCACAATTCCGTTCGTACTTGATACCTTACTTGACAATGACCAGAGAAGAATGCTGGATACGATCCAGAACAGCTCAACGAATCTTCGTGAGCTGGTGGATAACATCCTTGACGTGTCGAAGGTGGAAGCAGGGAAGATGAATATTGTCAGGCAGTGGTTCCATGTCCGATCTGTACTGGAAGACGCCATAGACACCATTAGCTCCAGGGCGATCGACAAGGGCCTGGAACTAAACTATTTGGTTGACACCGATGTCCCTTCGACCGTGCTGGGAGATCGGTTCCGTATCCGTCAGATCTTGATCAACCTCATGGGTAATGCGGTCAAGTTCACTACCCAAGGCGAGATTTGCACGCGATGTTCGATCCTCGTCGATCCCAACGTTAACACGAAACCATCTGAGATCCTGCTTAATTTCGAAGTCGTGGACACTGGTAAAGGTTTCAACTCGACAGATGCAGAGCGCTTGATGCAACGGTTCAGCCAGATTGAAACGAACGGGTCACAACAGCACGCTGGTAGTGGCTTAGGCTTGTTCTTGTCAAAGCAGCTTGTAGAGATGCACGGCGGGCGGTTGACACCTACTAGCAAAGAAGGGCGGGGAGCTAAATTCTCATTCTATGTGATGGCCGGGGCGCCACCCCAGTCACCTTCGGAGGAAATAGTCGAGCCCCCCACCCCTGGTCAAGTGATGGAGATTCAAGACGATGACCACCTGTCACGGCCACCTACCGCCCCGGTATCGACGGGAGAAGAAAAGCAGCTGCCCATTGCCAAACCAAAATCTGAATATTATATTTCGACTGCGGCTCCGCCAACACTCTGTTCGCCAATGATATCGACGGAGGCTGCCACTATATACAAAGCGTACAACACGGTGTTAATCTGTCCGTTTGATTATGCTCGAGAAGCAATCAAGCAGCACATCGAGCAAGTTGTACCGTATGGCGTGCAGTCCAAGATGACCTGCCTGCTGGATATGGAAGATTGGAGGGAGTTAAGACTGAACAAAAATGATCCTCTGACGCACCTAGTTCTTGGTCTCCCAGAAGCCCCTGAGGTGACCGAGATCATGTCCACTTTTCTTAAAACCGATCCTGACGGCCCTCCTAGTCCGACACTAGTGATAATAGCAGATATCTACCTCAAGCGCAACATCACTGCCGTATACAAGGAACTCTTAGCAGCCGGGAAGAGTGTGTTTATTGTACCCAAGCCCGTCAAGCCAAGCGCGTTTTCCTTGATATTCGATCCCAGGAGCGAGCGCGAGCTGAGCAAAGATCGAAACCAAGATATGGCACGTGAGGTTAACAACAGCTTCAAAAATATGTCCAAGATCGTCAAAGAGGTCATTGGCAATAAGGGGTATAGAGTTTTGCTTGTTGAAGATGATGAGACGAATCGGACGGTATGTACTAACATTCTTCTCTTGCCTTTATGCCGTGATTGGGCTAGTGCTAACGTTAAAATAACCTAGGTCATGCTAAAATACCTTGATAAAGTCAAGCTTGTCTCTGAAACTGCCGGGAATGGCCAAGAGTGCGTCGACATGGTCTTCTCCAAAGAACCGGGTTATTACTCGCTGATAATTGTATGCGTTATCCCGCCTTCCATCCTATAAAGTGTCTGAATCTAACATATCGGCAGTGCGATATTCAAATGCCTGTTAAAAACGGGTATGAGACCTGCAAGGAGATCCGATCCTGGGAGAACCACAACCACTTCCCCCAGATCCCCATTATGGCGCTCTCCGCCAATGCGATGATAGACCAGATCGACGATGCCGCCCACGCTGGCTTCAACGACTACGTCACTAAGCCGATCAAGCACAACGAGCTTGGTAAGATGATGATGGAGCTGCTCGACCCCAGCACTCCGCGTGTCCTTCTCAAGGATCGCAAAGCTTAAAGTCCGCCTCAACAGCGCCTCCCTGCCCTCCTTTCCCACTTTTTCTTCCTGTCATTTTGTTTATCTTTTTTTAAAGTATTCAATGTTTGTTTCCACAGTTCTTTGGCCCATTCTGGGCGAGGGCAACAAAAAAAAAAAAAAAAAAAAACCAATCCGGGCTTTCTAAGGGGACTCTTTACGGCCTTTCCTTTTTTTGTTTCTTTTTTTTATCTTCATTTTCCCCCATGTTATTCATGCATTACTTACATATTTGACTTCCTTCGGGGCCTTCTGCCATGCTTCTTCTCGTTCTCCGTCCTCTTCCCTCCTAAACTGCTAGCCCTCTTCTACGTCCTGCGTCCTTCATGCTGTCCTCTCTGGCCTCACGCTTGTTCTGGCTTTCAATCGGTGCATGGGTTAAATGGGAGGAATTCGCGAACCGGTGGCTAGTTCTGCTTCTATTTTATTTTTTATTTTTTGTCTCCTTTCGCTTCAACTATTATATATGATCCTTTTTTTCTATCTCCTTTGTGCTGTTTTCTTTTTTCTTTTTTTTTTTTATTCTCGCTTTCCTTCATATCTTTTACTGTTATTATTCTCCTGTTCAAAATCATGGACGCAAAATGGAGTAGAAGAGAAATATCGGGACTAAATTATGACGACTATTAGCTAGTATTACTTCCAAGGACCTTCTGTATGGCTTCTTCTTGCTCTCCTGTATATCTCTTTACTTGACAGCTCTGTATATGATCGATTACGCCGACTCTGGGGCTTCTCTCTCTATAGCCTTGTCTACCCCTGATTCTTTGCATCCTTTTCGACCCCTGCATCAGGTTATTAGCTGGTATCCCTCCTGCGCGCATGCATATGCATAACATAGATGTCCTGGATATATATATACTGTGGAATTGAGTGTCTAGTCGAGGGACAGGATATAGAACCAGTCGTTTATACTCTATCATCTTGTCTTGAGTCCTGGGGTTCCTGGCCTCCATGATCGACTCCAGCCAGGTAATCTCCACCAGACAAGCGGCTCGCTGGTTACTTCAACTCCCTGAAACGAGTCCTTCTGCTTTTCTCACTAACTAGCTAATCTCCAGTGCAGGATGGCCTTCGTCTGGGTAAACCTTGACGTCGATACAACCGCCATCGGACCAACTCCCTGGTAGTTACATCAGTGACATCTTGACTAGACGGCGACTTGGTTACGGCCTGCTGTTAAATTGAGAGGATGATCATGGTTCCTTTGAATCTGGACTTCTCGTCTTCATCGTCTACTTCGTCCACTTCCTCGACCTGGTCTGCTCGTCTGGCCGCAAGTTTCAATGCGAGCAGCGACGGTCAGGCAGCAGCAGCTCGTCCCGTTTCAATGGCAGCCAATGACAGATGCAACTGGCAGCTAGTTCCATGCAGCCCGCCAGACCGTTGAGACGTGAAGGTGAAGGCCCTTGACAGCTCGTAGCACTTTGATATATCAGGTCACTGCCGCCTGTCCACGGACGATTGACCTGGTTTATCTAGTTCTCTGGCTACCTGACTGTCTTCTTGACGGCCTGACGGCCTGACGGCCCTGACTGGCTGCCTGCTGCCTCTGCTGCGTCCTTTATATCGACCTCTGCCGCCGCCCGAAAAAAAGGCCGCAGTATCAAATCAACGGCCTTTGAATACAGTCACATCTACATCATAATAACCACTTGATAATATTAACTAAAAAATTCTAATAACTAGTTGGCTAGTATTATTATATCTAGCTAGCTAACAACTAGCAGCTAAGAAAAAAGGAACCATCGATCGATCGACCGCATCCTCGTCTCTGGTCTGCCTGCGCCCAAGTTACTTGACGAAACAGACGAGACAGACGAGGACCA